TTTTTAGTAAGTAGGTATTCAAATACCGTCACGCGTCATCGTGAATACTCGTAGCTAACAATGCTTAATAGTTTCAGATAGTTTTCTAATTTAATTCAATCACGTGTTGGTTAAAGATGAAAAGTATTTTCTTAATAGTAATCGTGTTTATTGGCATGAATTATTATGTATTTTACTAAAAACGCAAATAAACTAATCATTATTTTAATAACTTTCATAACCGTGTTTCCAGCAAAAAATATCATTTCCGTTTATAGTATAATTCATTCATTCTTGTAAGCTTCACGACATATTTTTGGTATCAAAAACATTAAAAAACAAAACACGGATTAATTATTCTGAAAAACTATTAAACGTGTCATTGACCTAACATAGACAAATGAATACATCCCTAATCAATTAAAACGAGCGAATGTGCCGGCGCCCTTACCTCACACATGCTCAGTTCGCAAGGCTCCAGTGTATAAATCAACGGCACAACAATTACACACTTTCATGGCAAGTTGGAATTAGAAACTGTCATTTGCACCGTTCAGGGGGGGTTCAGGGGGGTTTGGGGGGGCTGGGGGTAAAAATAGGGTGCGGCAAGGGCTACTGTGGACCTGATTAAAGGATTACATAGGGTGGCGTCCAGTCTAGTTAGATTTATTATGCCAAGTATTTCAACTAGTTAGCCCAGCTTTATTCGGCCATATTTAATTTGGAGCCAGCTGATTAATTGGCGAGCGAAATTCTAAACGGAAAATAGTTGACATTTTAGTAGTGATGAACTCTATGTGACTCTATACTAGAATCTTGTGCAGGTTGTGCGTAGAAAGATTCAAAGAACATTGTAAAACATTCAAATAAGAATGTAATATAGAAAACTCTTATTTATTAAAATAATTGAAAGATTTCTTTATTTGTGTGTAAATTGCATGTTTATTTTATTTAGGTTTATTTCCAAAAATAAAATTTATACCTAGCTATAAAGTCATATCAACCATAAGTAAACTTACGCCAGTATTCACAAACGATGCTTGCTTAAGTGAAGCTACAAATCGAACGCACAGCGTTGAATAAAGCTCTATGATTGGTTAATGTGTCACCCTGTGCGTCCACGCGACCTCATAGTAATGTTTGCGAATACGGGCGTTAGGTATTTACTTAGATAGGATAGATCACAAAAATACGTAATTTACTGGTGTCAACGCACCTATTACGACACTCATTTTTGTCTTTTGTTTCCAAAAACAAAAGACGGTCCAAAAATTTTAGACACCGTGTGAAGTAAACATAACTTTATGGCGCGTAAACGGTAGCGCCGAGTCCCGGACCACCCGCGCTCGCGCACCGAAATAGCGCTACAACCTTTAAGAAAAACATCTTTAATAGTCCGATTAATATCCTAGGCTACTGCCGCTGTAAAACCAACCACCCACAACGACGCACAATAACGTGCACCTTATTGGACGGTGATTAAGCATACTATTGAGTGGAGGGCGAGCATTCGGGACAATGTTTGTAATTTCCGCGACGCTATTTGCGTCGGAGGGACAGCATTGTTGTAACCAGACGTATCGTGGCCGATCGGGTTGTATTATTTTTAAACGTACGTAGAGTGTGTGTTTACTTTATAGTTATTATACCTGAAATTTTTCCATTACCAAAACAAAGGGGCGAAAGGTGGGAATAGTCCCGTTTTGGGAAGCTTTTAGTTTGATTTTTTTAATTACCAAAACAACAATATACCTGGTAAGTGCGTATGTTATTAAGCTACATTTCATCCATGAAAAATTTAGATTTCCTGAAAAGAGCACAATTACAATTGGATGACGACTAGTGTACTCCTAGTTAAACTGTTTAAAAAAATCATATTTTTCCTACGTTCAAAACGCTCCATTTAATGCAGATGTACCTTTCGAACCCAGAATAATTCAACAAAATCTCTACCACCCAAATTACAATTCCCTGTCAATTCCTGAACACGCGGAACTTAGCGGAATTAAATAATTTATCGCGTAGAGAGCACATAAATCAATATGCAGGGCATGCACACACGGGCGGTTAGGCCTGCCCTTCTTGACTAATTAATTAAACAGACGATTCATTACGCGCCTCCTTTGTACCATTCGTCTAGCGGTAGGGTTAGCAAGATTGAATTTTGTTGGAAAAGGGCCGATATTAGGGATAAAAATCGTGTGGAAACGGTAATACTATAGAGAATACTAATAGAGTTGGATAAATCCTTTTAAATAATAATATGATGAATGAATACGTATGTCAAATATCGTTGCGATTTACATGTGAACACAAACTTTTATGAATACATACTAGGTACTCTACACTAGGGACATACGAGTAGTTTTGCATCTAACTGTACCCAACCCTTTTTGTACGTGGGCGATATTCCGTCAGTACGGTTGCAATAATTTTAATTTCTCCGCGTGAAAGATCTGTCATTTATTCGTTGCAATTCAGATCGTTCACATCGCAAATCAAAAAGCTACAAAAATACATTTTTTTTAAGGCGAGAGTGAATAGACACTTACAGGACAGATACTCGTATGTACCATCCTAGACTGCATCTCACTTACCACCAGGTGCGATTGCGGTCAAATACCTGTCTTGTTATCCATTAAAAAAATACTAATAGCTTTAAAGTTTAACCCTCAGTAGTTAGTTTTGCATCCAACTGTACTGTGTGGGCCTGACCGTTGCAATTATTTAAATTTGTCGTCGAACGTGCATTAGATGTTACTGACATTTTATTCACTGCTTCTTGGTAATTTACATTCGATGCGACATAAGACTCAAGACTCATATTTTTCGATATTTTAGTTTTATAATTAGTTTTATTTAAAGAGACAGCAAAGAGATATGGTACCCTCGGTAAACAGTTTTGCATCCAACTGTACCTTGTACCCAACCCTTCCGTGCGTGGGCCTGATAGCCGTCAGTACGGTTGCAATTATTTTAATTTCTCCGCGTGAAGGATTGATCGTGCATTAGATGTGATTCCGGCTCCGACCGTCATTTGTTACCATCACCGCCTCTTCGTAATTTAAATGCTTCGTTCGGTAGCTGTTTGTTTTTGATTTTGCTAAATGTAGAAAAGAAAGAATTTCACTAAATATAAAATTGTTTAAATCTAATCTAAACAGGTATAATAAGATTAACCCACGGGTTGAAAAAATAAGAGTTCTAAATTTTTTTCCTGCAGCTATTATTGATTTTAAAATGTACCTACTCACCTTATAATTTTGTGTTACAGTGATTAAAATCTTATTTATTTATTTATTTATTGAAACTTTTATGCCAAAATAAATTTGTACATAAGGCGAACTTAATGCACTAAAGCATTCTAATCTTCTAGGGATTTTCTAAATAAGTTTCCAAGACATGCAAATAGTCAGATACATCAAGAATGCTGAGTATTTCATAAATAAAATCAAACTCTACATCCCTTTAAAACGCAACATTCTAATAAAGGAAATATCTAGTTTCACGCTCAGTGAATTCGAAAAGGTAAAATCTGGTGCAAATTATTAATAAATTATCTTCATTAAAACCGGTGTTTCGAATGTTTTGCGGTCGACCTCGTTTGTGCTTTGGAGTGTTCAGTAATTTGAACCTTTGATGTTTATTTTCGGTTAGTGCCGTTATAATGCTGTGATACAATGTGTTTTGATATTGGACAGAGCAGAGTTATGGCTGAAGCGGTTAGAGAATAATGTGCGGTCTTATTTTTTAAATAAATATTGGCTGAGAAATGCTTTAAAATTGTCTAAAAAGTAATTACTTATGTTTATAAGGATGTAGAAAGCTCACAAGTTTCTAAGTACTAGAGGAAAATACCGTCAACATGATAGATAGGTAAGTAATAATTTTTTATTCACTTTGTATCGTAATTCGTGTCATTTATTCAAACTTATACGGAACCCTCACAGAGTTTTCAGTAGTCGGGCGGTTTATTTTAACAATTGGTTTAAAAAGTGCTTAGAAAGATTAAAATTGTGATTCACAATGACCTACTTACAGATTAGACTTTCAGGCTGACTAATTTCAGCCCAATCTTTGCTTAGTTTAGAACTAGACTTCATCGGCCGTTTGGTGTAGTGGTTCAGAACGGAGTACCTACTATGCTGAGAAGTCTCGGGTTCGATACCCGGCCGGGCAGAAATTGATGATGAATTTTAATTTCTGTGACGGGTCTGGGTGTTTTCCATGCATAATATGTAGGTATTTAAAAAAAAAGTATACAAGTATATTTATATTCGTTGTCAGTACTCATAGTACAAGCTTTGCTTAGTTTGGGGCTAGCGGCGCAGTGTATTATATTTATTTATTTATTTAGATGGCGAAGTATAAAATGCCCAAGGTGGTGCCTTGCCGGGTGACTGCCCTCACACCATCTATCTAACGCTGTATAACAGACTAGCGGCCGCCCGCGACTTCGTACGCGTGAATCCCGTTTTACCCCCTTAGAAGTGGTGTTTCGTAAAATCCTTTCTTAGCGGATGCCTACGTCATGACATTACCTGCATGCCAAATTTCAGCCCGATCCGTCAAGTGGTTTGGGCTGTGCGTTGACCTTTGAGTTATATAGGGTGGGTGTACCAGTAACAAACCGAATAAGCGATATTTTAAAAGTAATTTTCATATTGTGACTCAATTACTACAACAATCATTGCAAAAAAAAAGAATTAACTACTCCTTGTCTATCATAGAATCAAGTAGCTTATCCCAATTTTCTTGATAGCTGTAAGGTTTATTTTTATTTAACAATCAATGTGGAAAGTCGCAATGTGCCTAAGGTTGACCAGATCGTACCAAGTCGTGTTTGTGGCTTTTATTTATGACTAATGATTGGTAGAAGTACGGCAGTGCTACCAAACGTAACAAAAGTGGCGGGAAATTCGACAGATTGTTAATATTTTGATGTGAAATTAGAAATGGTGTAGTTCCTGGTGTGGGACTGGTGCACCCACCCTATATTTATATATAAGATAGATACTAACTGGTTTTGGACCGTGGTTCCCTGGGCCCATCCACTGTGACCTTGATTGCCTTGTTGTAGGTGGTGACCTGCGGCGGCGTCGTCGATATCGTGATGGTCAGCGTGAACGACTTGCCTGGAACAAGCGGAGACGGGGTTTAGACCATGTTTAAAGAGTATGTGATCAATAACAACACTATTTAAAATCAGATGAAAATAGCAAATATACAGCTATTTGTGGCTTTTACTGCGCGTTTGAAAATTTTATACGTAATTTATAATAACTTACATCTAGATAATTTTCAATAACTAAAATTTTTAGTTTACCAAAATCTAAAATGGGCGAGTTCAAATAGTAGGTACTTACACAAGCTATGTTTATCTAATAAATTTTCCAATTTAGCAAGAAATAGTTGGCAAACTTTACTGTAGTACCCTCGAAGTACGTTACCCAATCCCTTTCTAATCATAATAATGAAAACTCAGTGCAATCAATCGAAAATATATTCTGAAACTGCTCTTTCAAGTAAGCAAACTACTGGCCAAGCGATTAATTGTCCGGAGATAATACCAGCGCCGCAAATATCGGTAAAAACCCACCCTTAATACAATCGGATTGAAAATATTTACGAAAACTTTGCACTCAAAGTGAGCGCACGCCATAAATTCAATCTGTGGTCGCCACTCTTTTCAGCCAGCACTTTTTAAATAGTTCGATTTTGATCACTTGTTCGAAAAGTTAAAAATTTATTGCCCGGTACGTTTTCAATTTGTGTGCCCGACTGTTACGCGGTAGACGGAATCCAATCCACAACGATAGTAATAAAATTTTCCTATCGAAAATACCCATCTACCGCACGTTACATGTTAGCCGACTATTTCGTTTTTCAAATTGGATTCCTTTGTCAAAAACTGTAAACATATCGAAATTACTGGCGAGACGAGTGGGCACTCCGACATCAAACGCCATAACACTCGAATAGAAAAAAACGGTATTCAAACATGGAGAGGATAAAAGAGCAACTCATCCGCAACACATCAGAGCGCGTCACAAACAACGGGCCGGCCACTTCATCACAGCGTAACGGCAATAAAAAAAACATTTCCATCTGCGGAAAAACCACAGTTAATATTAAATGACCGTACGTCAAAGCGATATTGTAGAGCGCTTGCGGCCCGCGCGGCGGGATGGAGCCAATACCAATTTTGTGATTCCCCCCGGTGGAGTGAGTGACATGTAAGCTTTAATGGCCCGGAGCGGCGGGTACACGCGAAAAAACTGAAAAAAGGCCTCATTCATACGTGATTTCGTGAGGCTACTTTGGGCTCGGCGGTGAGTCTCGTTAAAAATGGAGGCGGACACGCGGCGGGCTTGTTGCGGCGGCGTACGGAGTTTATTAACGTACTATCGGGGACTCGGACGCCTTGACACCTTAAGGGCCTAAATTGTTTGCACACACACGCTCGATTAAGCTACGCCCCCATTCATTCATCTTTCGGGTCTAAGCAGCGTCGGCGCACCACTGTAGATGTTTGCCCTAGCAAACCAAGCTCTATGTAAAGCGTTTAGGATTGAGTATTGCTTAGCTTACCCGCATCCGTGGCGCTAGTTTGGCAACGTCGCATTTTAGCAAATTTGAAACCCAATAAAGAATCGCTACAAAATATTATATGGGGCTTCGTGTAAAAATTGAACTAGCGATTGCCCGCTCGGGTCACAAAATTGCTATCGCACATTCCGAGGTAACTGTGCAATTTCCTGAGAAAAAAGTAGCTCTTTCTATAATTATTGTTGATATTAAGATTGTAAATCTCATGATATTAGTTTAGCTAGTTAAGGCGAGAAATGCAAAATCATACAGTCACTTTCGAATTTTACTTGTTTAATAGGTATTTAATTTATTTGGAACTTATAATTTATAAACTATATGTTATTGAATTAATTAGGAAATAGTTAAGGAATATTTGTGGCTTAAAAACAATTATTGTAAGATCTGGCTACATAATAACATTCTTAAATCCTTGAATGTAAATAAAAACCTATAATAGGTTTCTATTTATTTTTAATACATTAGCAACTTTTGTTTTCCGTTTAAAAGAAACACTTATCTACGTTATTACAATTTAATACAAATATTGTAACTAGGTAGCAATGATCCAGGTCATTGGTTATTATAAATACATATTATAATATTAAGTTAGTTTTATTTCAAATTATTTTTTTATTGCACATTAAGTGTCTTTACACAAGGTTTTAAATCAATAAAAATTAAACTTCAAACTAAATAATACTTAAACAGTTAACAATGTATAGATAGATAAGTTTGTAATTAAATATAAGAATAATTAAGAATTATTTTGAGAGGCCATGATTCAGTAATCGCGCGGAGGTCAATAAAAAGGCAATCAAACAGTCCAATTACTAGCACGGGTCAACACAAAACAAAATCAATCGGTTAGGGATCACAAAACTGCACAAAAAACAAAGGAGAGAATATGTCGACAGTTCGCCAAAGCAAAAAGCAGACAGACCTCGTATAAAAATACAATATTAAAAAAAACATATTATCTATTTGTTTGTAACCAAATTCTATTATTAAAATTCTAAAGCTGAGTTGCACCATCTTACTTTAACTTTGACAAACGTCAAAAATCTGTTAAACTCCATACAAAAAGCACCGGTTACCGTTATAGCTACGGTCAAAGTTAGGTGGCGCAACTCAGCCTAAAACTAAGAAAGATTGAAGAAAAAGAAACATTTCGTTTTAAACCTTAACCGTATGACAATAAAGTGCACAATGGTATTTCGTATTGCAACCTAAGCCCTGATTGTCTCTTATTGGTCGTAGTAAAAATATAGTAAAATGCGTAACCAATTAGAGACGGGGTGAGCACGTGACCGGAGCGATGCGTTTACGCTAAAATTTCTACAAAGTGGTCAGGCGGAAGAGTCCCCGATAGTACGTACTCTGTGTTCACACTTGTTACGGGAGTTTGCGTTGGCCAAATAATGATGTTCGAGGCCGTGGATTAAGTGGCTGTCGCGATTACGTTGGTGACGTCATTGTCATGTTATCCTTCTTCAATCCTTGTTCACTGCGATTGTCTTGTTATGACGAACTCTGTGCTTTGTGATAAGGCCTCGGCTTTGTGTTCTAATATGCTATTTGGAGCTCTAAACACCAATTTTACTTGTAGGCTAACTGTTGCGGTGTACATAGTGACCAAGGCACTTTGACTAATTACTTTACGTAATAATGAATTTTTGTGTTCGACTGTGATTTTAGGCAAACTCACTCGAAGATTTTGATTTATGGTATAATGAAATTGTATGTATTTTATTTGTAATTAATAACTATGATCATGATGTAATTACTAATGAATTGAATATTACTAATCTTAATAATGTTTATAGATATTCTGTTGTCTAAAATGAATAAATAAATTGAAGGAATTTTGTATTCATTTCAGTGAAAGCAGATTTTACTTTGCTACTGCGTCTACTTATCCAACACTTCCCAACTTAACCCGTCAGATTTGTGATATCAATCAAAATTCCACGATTAACCCTCCAACGGTTACGAAAGTTACATCCCCAATTTGGGCATCACAAGCGTGTTTTTCGTAAGTTCCCAAGACGTTGAGTGATGCCGTGCCAGCCACGCCGCGCCACGGCGGGTTAAATAAATAACCCTGCTTAATGGTAAGGTGATATTTATAGTGGTACGGTTACCTGAATAAGGTGGAAACAAGAACACTTTAGCATACTGTGTGCTTATTAGTTTAAACTTTTTTTTATTTGCGGCCATGATTTTTAGTGGTACGGTTACCTGAAATAAGGCGGAAACAAGCACACTGTAGCACTCTGTGTACCCAACTAAATTAACTAAATGTTTTTTTATTTGCGGCCAGGATTGTCAACTTAAGAATCTGTCATTCATGGATGAGGCGTCAAAACTGCATTGCGCACCATTGCGTCGCCCATCAAACGATAATGTGTACTGTTAAAAGTAACTAATTAGGTTAAATATCCAGTGACTTATTTTATATGTATGTATATTTAAAGCTTATTTGCACATTGAATAGATTCCAAAATCTGGTCTTTTATACACTCTCGTACTTATAGAAATATTTGTAAATACTTATTTTTTTGACCAAATATTTGTTGACCTTTAAAAATATTCTGGAATTGTTACAAAAATTATGGACAAACCGTATCCATACCAGATATAGTAAGGAATATTTAAAGCTCTCAAGCTTAGTCTTAACACAAATCCACACGGGGCCAACTCTACTCCTTAGCCTTACAAAAACGAAATATGATATTGCAGACGAAGCAGAAACGGTACTCTGTTGTCTAGTACATACAAGACACTCCCGGAGAGTAATATTTCAATCGTCCAAATATTGTACCGAACCACTTCATACTATGTGCCTGAATTTCCTGCGCTGCTTTTTCCTAATACTGGTCAAACGATTTGAAACGTTATTAATAATTTTCCAAGAGCCAGATAAAAAGGAACTGTCTTTTTTTCTGGCCTGGTGGTTTGAATACCCGACTGCTACAGTTGCTGTGGTTGTGGGTTCAAATCACGTATAAAGGAATTTCAGTCACAAAAATTCAACTTGTCTAGCCTTGAAATTCAACCAATATAGGTTATCTATCTTATCGACGCGATTGTAAGGCTGGAGACAAATTAATGATAATATGGTGAAGTTGCAGCTGATGCGAGCATGATAACTGCACCACTTATCAAACTCTATCAATCCCCTTATTTTTTTCTTAACCCTCTACTAGTTGCTTGAACGTTACATCCCCAAATTGCCCATCAAAAGAAGCTGATGTGGCCGTGCCAGCCGCGGCACGTCACGAGCTCTAAATAAATATCCTACTTAATGTGTGTGGAACACGACATACTAGCGCCATTCTTATTGGCACACAATTTCCGTGATGCCACGACAGTGTTAAGAGGGTGCAAAAGTTTTAAAGATGATTTACATGAAGGTTGACAGCAAGTAGTAGCTATGTTGGTATGAACAACTATGACAACGTAGGTATGAATAATAGATTTAGATTTATCTTTTTTGTACACCACACTAGAAAGGCCGCCGTCCCATTTTTGTCCCACTCGCGAG